TCCAAAATTTATTTTGAACACTGCTATAGTTTGAAACATAGCACAGTAAGTTGATTTTCACCTTGAAGATGCATGTTTAGTTCATTTAGATGATCAGTTAAATCCACCAAAAGTTCTAAATCTGTGAGCCATTTACTCCCCCAGTTCCCACCTAGAGGCCCAGGGATGCGAGCTTCAGGAATGTGACAAATACAAGAATCCTGGCTGCCAGTGAAGACCTATTCTCATATTTGTCACATCCCTGAAGCTCGCATCCCTGGACCTCTAGGTGGGAACTGGGGAGTAAATTCCCCCACTGTAAAGGCAGAACAAGTCCAAGAACACCTCATGAGACTGAATGTATACAGCTCAATGGGACTGAATGACATGCAAACCAGGGATCCAAAGTAGATGGCTGATGTGGTTGCTGAGCCGCTCTCCACCATATTTGAAAAGTCATGCCTGTTGGATGAAGTCCCCAGGGACTGGTAAAAAGGAAACAAAGCTACCATTTACAAGAAAAGAGGAAAGAGGACCTGGGGAACTACAGGCCAGTGAGCCTCACCACTTTGCCTGAGAAGATGATGGAACAGATCATCCTAGAAAACATGTTAGGGCATGTGGAAGATGAGCAGGTGATCCAAGATAACCAGCATGACTTTACCGAGACAAGATCATGCCTGACCAAACTGGTGGACTTCTATGACGGAGTCATGACATCAGTGGACGATGGAAGATGACCAGTGTCATCTACTTGGATTTGTGAAAGGCCTTTAACATGGTCTTTAATATGACACCACATCCTTATCTGTAAATTGGAGAGATATGGATTAGAGGGGTGGGCTATTCGGTGGATAAGGAATTGGTTAGAAGGCCATAGACAGAGGGTTGGGTTGAATGTCACTATGTCCGGGTGGATGCTGTTGAGAAGCAGTGTCCCCAGGAGCCTATCCTGGGACCAGTGCTCTTCAACATCTTCATCAGTGACATTGATGACCAGCTCAAGTGCACCCTCAGCAAGTTTGCCAATGACACTACTCTGAGTGGTGCAGTTGATAGATTAGAAGGAAGGGGCACCATCTAGAGGGACCTCAACAAACTTGAGAAGTGGGTCCATGTGAATCTAATGAAGTTCATGAAGTGGGCATATGATCACCCAAGACACTACTGAGTGGGATATTAGCATATATAAATGAGTTCTTGGAAAAGAATGAATATGTATGCCAATATACTTTATATGTATGTCTCAACTGTTTAAATGTAGAACCTGAACTCTGTGCTTGTTTGTCAAGTTGCCTGATACATATCATGAGGAATAAAGGAATACCACTTTCTAACACCACACTAGAGTTAGAGTTTTTTTTCCTGGATTTTGGATGACAACTGTGGCTGAAATAGGATTACCAAAACAAAAGCATCAGCTACAAATAAAATTTCTCTCAGGAAAAATAATTTTCTGGCATAAGTGAGGTCCTATAAGAACCTACAGGTTATGGTAAATGATGACAATCAGAGAAAAGCACAAAGGCATATTACAGTGGTACTGAAAAGGGCCAGCCAATGAAGGAAGACTGAGGATCTTGAAAAAGAGGGTCTTAACCTATAAGATACTTAAAGTTTAAGAGAATATAGAGCGCTGCATGTGCAGTGGGAAAAGTAAGGCACTGAAAAAGGTAATGCAGTCTGTAATTAAAATCCACCTATTTGAGTCATGGATTGGAGTCTTTGGACTATGGGTCAGTTTGGATTCTGATTAGGGCTAAGAGGCTACAGCTAGAGTGGGGTTGGGAAGGGGCTGCTAAAAACAAGTGAAAGCTGCAAAGACATTTTTTCTCTGAAGACTGTTGTCACTAGTGGAATGAATGTAATCACAGTATCATTGTCTTGCTCAATACAGATAACCTCTTGCTTTAGTCTTCTTCCTATTATCTTAAAATGTTTTATACCTCTTGTCTCTTTTTCCCTCAGAATGTGCACCTTCCAATGACAATCTTTTCTCTGCTTGTCTAGGCATACTCTTGCCTCCAGAGCTCACACTCCCAACATACTTTTCAACTCCAAATTCCATTTATCCTCCTCTTAGCATACATGGCTTCCATACCCATTCCTCTTCTCTCTGTCAAAGTTTTAGTTTTCTCACTCTGACTGACTCTCCAATTCTAGGCCCCACAACTCTCACTTCACATACTTTCTCCAACCCTAGCTTATAGTAAAACTTCCAGCTCTAGCCTTCTTCCACTTGATTTGAAGTAGGGCACAACGTAATTTGTTACTTGTTTTTAGAAATAGCTGATATGAAAAAAGTAGAAATACCATATATTTTAGTAGCATATTTTAAAAATATAGTTGTTGAATTGCTGTATTATGTGATTAATTCTTGCATTACTGTAATAGCTTTTAGATGTTGCAAACAGTGTGGATGTAACATTATAGACTAGAAAGCATGCTGTAAGGTTCTTCTGTTTTAATAAGAGACCCTTGACAAAAGAAACACAATAATGAAAGCAGAGACCTCCACACAAGGCCAAATTGTGTCACTCTGGGATTAGGTTGGGATGCAACAGGCAGGCATCAAGTACTCCTCACTATCCTCCTTACCTTCTGCACCCCAGTATACACCACTAAAGGGCAGGTTAACACCCCAGTATACAAACAAACAAACAAATAAACAATCGGGTTGCCAAACTTATCTCTATCCAAGGATGAGCAGATGTCCAGAAATAATGGCTGAGTGCAGAGTGAACAAATGCCACTATTTTGGTGCGTCGATGAAAAAAGTTCATCTAGAGGACAAGCAAGGAAGATCACTGGATGAAGTACAAGACTGTTGGTTGGACTGTCATGATGCTAAAAGGACAATAGATGGTAGAAGATACCATGGAATAGAAGACCGGAAACCTCATGAATCACTGTCTGAGCATGTATATGTTAATTGTCTCATGTGTAATTCATGAATATGTACCATCTGTGGAAATATAATGAACTCTGATCATGTGATGAACATGTAATCTTTGAAGTGCTTATGCTGGAAATATCCCCAGCGCTTTCTGGTGCCACTGATAAAGAATACCTGCCTTAGCAGTAACAAAACTTTGCTGTTAAGTTTCTACACGTCTATTTCTTCGATTCACACTCAACTCACAAACTAAACAGTATGGAAGTTCCAGTTTCCTTCGAATCGCAATTCTTTGGATTGCAAGACACAATACTTTCAGAGTTCATACTCTACTAGCTTCCATTCACTCAACACTAGATACTCTGAACTATCCACTCCCTCTTTGTTCCTAAGTGGCTTCAAATTCTAGTCCTGTCCTTCTGACTTAATACATCTCCATATCTGTGCACATATTCTCTGGCTTTAGCCCTTTATCTCAGCCACATCCTTCTTCTGTCCTGCCCAAATGGCTCACTGTTTACCAACCCATTCAAGCAACTCCTGTGGAATCTCAGCGACTTTTAAGTAGGAATGGATCTCTGTGAGTCATCTTTTAGGTATTTTTTTAGTGATAAAGAGGGTGGGAAAGAAATGAGCTCCAAGAAGCACCTTTTAAAATATCCTTTATTTGTGTATCATCCTATTAAAAAAACTTTTATATAAAGGCAAAAAAGGTATTGCATAGAAGAAACACTGGTGCAAACATCACCTGGTGGGAATGGTATGTTGTTTGTGTCTTTGTGTCTACTATCTACTGCACAACAGACGGCTGGCTAGTCTGCAGGCAAACATCTCCATGTTTCCCCACGTAGGCTACAGGATGAAGCTGTTCAACCCTATAAAAGTAAGTTACATCAGAATGTGTGCCCTATTCCATGCTGCTCCCAAAAAATATCAGCTAGGAAAATCCCCTTTTCTTTCTTGTCTTCTCTATACTTGACCAACATACTGCCCAAAAAAGACCACAAGGAGCAATTCTGCTGTCTTCTGCTTGCACTCCTGTGTATGTTTGTAGTCCATGTATATTAATAGTAATGGAGACAGTGGGGAGGGACACAAGAGAGTTGTAAGAGGGTTGGCATAACTTGACCATAGTCCAAGAACTCAATGCACAGAATACACAACTAATCTGTTATCATTGATAAATTTACGCCATTGTTGGTAACATCTCACATGCTATTTGCAGAGAGTGTGCTCTTTTCAGTTCTCTCCACCTGCAATTCCTATAACTAAAAACCTTGGTACCACCAAGAGGGAACATAATTCACTGCTTTCACTTCCACAGTTTTCAAGCAGTTTTCCCAATATGTCTCTGCTAAGCGCTGATGCAGCTTCCAAACATAAAGCACAGTGAGACAGAAGATACACTACAATCTGAAGAAATATTCAAAGAAACAGCATTTTCACACACTTGAACTCTGCTTTCAAGAAAACACGATGCAGAGAAGTATGTACTGATACAAATCAATATTTGTGTATACTAAATATATTTTTACTGAATTATCACTTTTTTAAATTTAAAAACATGCTAAAAATTTGCAGCTAAATAACTAAAATGATGTTTGGGGAAAACGCAGAGAAAGCCACCCATTAGCATAAGCAAGAAAAGTGCATATATACACGAGACCAAACAGTTACGAGACAGTGCTTTCCATGACAAACTTACTGATGCAGCCTCACAGTTTCCAAGGCTGTTTCTGTTGCCTAGAAAATGGCATTACTTTTCTTCTCCTTTCAGGATGTCTGTCTTCTCCCACATCAGTGTGTCAGCTAGAGACACAAACCAGCCCTGCTCTCGACTACCTTACTATAGAGTGGCTTCACAGAGATGAATACACAAAGCTTGTGTAACTACCTCAATTAATATTGTGTTTAGAATGATAAAAGTAATCTTCAGATTAAGATCTATTGTATTTACTATTAGATTGTGAAATGGAATGAAGCATTCTAAAAAAAGTTTAGATGGAAGGCAAAATAGTCAAATCTGCAACTATTCATTTCTTCTCTGTATTACTGGTATATTTTAAATTTTTTTTTTTTTTTTTTTTTTTTTTTCTTTTTTATTTTCTTTCTTTTCTTCTATGTGTTTTTTTTTTTTTTTTGTGTGTGAGTGTGTGTGTGTGTAAAAGCTGTATGTAGATTGAAATTTAAGTTGTAGCACGTACCACTGTGCAACCCAAGAGGACAGATGTGATGTGATGCATCTTATTCTTCTCAAACCCCAAAGAAAATTAAAAAAAGCAAAGCACCTCTGACCAAAGGTAGAATGTAATAGAGTCATTAGATGAAAATTGTTCTGTCTTTCCTGTAGAAATAGCAACACATTTTAGTAATTTTGTATATGGTATTTTGTATATGGTCTTACATGTAGCAGCAAGTATACTGGGCATCAGAGCCCCTTCTTTGATGAGCAACATCTCCAATGAGGCTCAGATGTTCTTGGTCCCAATTTTTGTTAGAAGTGGAATTAAAACTGGATTCAGTTACTGTGCTTCCCTTCTACTCCTTCCCTGGATTTCAAAGGCAATGCAAATTAAATAGCTGAGCCCATACAGTGTTCTTCAGTAGGCAACAAGAGATTTATGAAACTTCAGACATCATGCTCATGTGGACAAGGGCCATTCTTTAAGATTAGTAATGGCCTTCATCACTGTAATACCCAAAATACAAATTCATCCCTCTTGTCCCATGCATTCACACTCTTTCCATCATACTGATCTCAAAGGAACATCAAAAAGTGAGAGAGTCCACACAAAATGCTGTCTGATTTACAAATGCAAACAGAACCTACTAGGAAGATAAAACAGGGTACTCATACTTTCCAGATAGGAAGCGGCCCAATTGTTATTTCAGCTCATCATGAAAAGATTGGCTGAATTATCCAACGAAACCAACGTATTTTCAGAGTTTAAAACATAAATATTCAGACTGGACATTAGGAGAAATGTATTTACCACAGGAGTAGTTTGACATGGCACGGCTCTGAATGGGATACCACAGAGGCATAAAATCTCCATCCTTAGCAGTTTCTGTTATTCAGTCTAATAACATCATAGTGAATTCCATCTCATATAGATCACAGCTCTCTTTTGAGAGTGACACTGGATGAGGTAACTTACAAAGATCCCCTCTAACTGCCAGTTAATATAAGCTGAATTAATATAAAGTAGAATTCCTTTCAGAGCTTAGTTAAGCCCTGACTGGAGCTAAAACACAACATGCTCTAATGGCCTTTTCTTCTTCCTTCACAAAACTGTAAAACTTAGGAGAGATTTCTTTAAAAAAAAAAAAAAAAAAAAAAAAGTAAATGGAATTGGCTTACAATAAAATGGCATTCAAACTAGAATTTTCGTTCAAATTTTGTAGTCAGAATATGGCTAAAAAATATGCATCGCATCTCAGTGAACTCTTGATCACATCACTGGGTAGATCTGGCAATCTCCCAGCATGAACCAGTTCTGTGCTGAAGGTGTGACAGTGCATAGTCTCTCTCAGTTTCTTTTGGAAATTGCCCCTTTTCTGAATCTGCTCTTCTTTAATCAAATTCATGTTCCCCTCTGTCCAGAGACATCTTTTCCAGCTCAGAGAGATAGCTGTCATCTCTTTGATGGAACCACTTCACTGAAAGGCATAGCATGACAAAATTGTAATAAAATTGCTACCTCTCTTTCTAATATCCCGCAGCACACCATGCTTTATGCAAATTTTTTGAAACAGACAATACAGTCTGTGAAACCTGCTGCCAAGTGACCAGCAGGCCAGACTGCAACCTTTCTCCTTTATGCCAGGGAGAATTACTCACTTAGCCATTACTTTTAGATTTCAAAGTAGCATAACATCAAAACAGTCTAACAAGGAGCACCAATTACAGTGTCACAGTCTGCTTTGGCTGGGTAAAGACACTGAAATTTAGCGTCACAGGAGTGTTAAGTAGGAGGTAGGAGGAGTGTTTCTCAAGTAGTGAACTTGAGAAACATTTTCTTTATCTGTCCTCCCCAACTGCCAACTTTGAAAAACATATCCTCAGGAGATTGCACAGTGGTTTCTACACTAATGTACAATAAATGTGTAAAAACAGATACACTATATAGAAGCTATAAATCAGGCTACTAAATTCTAAGCTATATTTATCATAATATTAATAATCATCATTATCATAACAAAAAAGTATACACCATCAGGTACAAGAAGCTCCAATTCATAGGACTCCCAGTTAGAGTAGCTTTTACAAGACTTCCAGTGAATTGAACATGAGGGTTGAAAACGTAATGGAAGACTTTGAAGAATTCTCCCTTAAAGTTTAACTTATATAACTTTTGCACATTTAGCATGTATTGGTAGAGCAAAATGTGTTCTTAAATCAAGGGAATAGTCTTGGAAACAGATGTATGATTTTGTTTAGAAAATCCATGTGTTCGGGAGCTTTTCCCCCTCTCTTTGGCAAATAAATGGCAAATGTGAAACAGAGAAAAATATGAATCAAACAACAAGTTGTGATAATATCTGTACAAGTAACAACAAAGTAGATCAGACAGTGGGACGGATTCACTCAGCAGGGCTTGGCTTGATACTCTTTGCAGTCTCTCCTTTTGTTCATTTTTATGATCAAACAGAAGGGCTGATGTGATAATGTTTCAGAGGCTTTAGGCATCATATTTTTTGCCAGTCCTGTGAATCTGCTGGAAGAGTGTCATGGAGAAGGCCATGCCAAGAATCTGAAGGAAAGCAAACAATGAAGGCTTCAGTACAAGAAGATGGCCAAACCTACAGTGTGTTCATGGTCCAACTTTAGTTTTAAAAGACATTCTAAACTAGTCAGCTTTCTCAGTCATCAGCACTGTCAGTAAACTAGGATGCATATTATAAAGGCACACAGCAATGCCTGAAGATGTATCATCTGTTAAAGCAGTGATGAAAGCAAAAAGGTCTCTCAGGGGTCTTGGTCACACATGCCCCCCCCCCCCCCCCCCAAAAAAAAAAAAAAAAATCAGAAAAACATAATTGTGTCACTTTTTTATCCAAAATCTTGTGCTTGATTAACCAAAAACCTGTGACTGAAAACATCAGATTCTGGCAATCTGTACGAAGTACAGCAGTTATACAGGAGTGCCCAAACAATATTACACTATGTTGATACATCTCCATTTCCTTTTTTATGCACATATTAACTTCCTCACTTCAATACCCATTATTTAATTCATTCTGGCAATTTCCAGAACTTGCTTCCAAATTTAAAAAAGTACAGTGCTCTAAGAGACAAGGTAACAAACGGATACTAAACCTGGTAACCCCAGGCTCTGAAGTAAAAATGCAGATAAGTGAAACCCCACTATAGCCTGTCTTCTTTGAGGGTCAGCATGATGACTGACCTGCATTCTATACAAAGATAAAGCCTCAAATAAGCTCATAGAATAAATCTGGCATTTTTGAAAACATGATCAAACTCAAAGCAGTTGAGGACCACTTTTCGTGTAACAGAAACAAGGATGTTCAGAGCAAGTAAAATCTGTGTTGACACACATCATACCAGCATTACCTGCATTATAAGGATACACATCCCAGTTGAGCCAAGGACATGCTTATTCTCATCAAACCAAGTCATAACTCTCTCATAACATCCCTGTAAGATGTAAATCAAATTCTCAAGGTTACAAGGTATTTCTTTCATATGCATTCCCTCTATTTTGTTCCTTCCCACCCCTCTCTAAGACTTGACCTTACCGTTTTCCACACTAATTCAGTGGAATTCCGTCCACAGTCTTGAGAGTTTTCTGTACAGCATCGGTCTGGGACAATGTTTTCTCCCAGTACTGGGTACCAATCCGTAAAGTCATTTACACCACAGCACTTCATCTATGGCAAAAGATTAATAAATTACCTTAACTATATGCAATTTGTGAAAGGTATACCACAGCAAACTTTCAGCTAGAATCATAGTGTCATAGAATGATTTGGGTTGGAAGGGACCCTTAAAGGTCATCTATTTCTGCATTTCCTGTGAAGTGCAAGGATATCTTTCACTGCTTGAAGCCCTATCCAAACTGACTTTGAACACTTCTAATGACAAGTCACCCACTACTATTCTGGACAACTTCCTCCAGAAATTCTAGTGAAGAATTTCTTCTTTATATCCAACCTAAATCTACTGACCATCAGTTTAAAACCATTACCTCTTGTTCTGTCACTACATATCCTGGTAGTACAGTAGAAAAGTTCTTCTCAGTCATTCAAACAAGCTGACTTTATACACTGGAAGGCTGTAATAAAGTCTCCTTGATGCCTTCTCTGTTCCAGGCTTAAAAAAACCCTAACTCACTCAACTTTTCTTTGTAGGACAGAAGTTTCAGCCTCTGATCATTTTTTGTGGCCCTCCTTTGGATCTGATGTAACATATCCCCGCATTTCTTGAACTGGAGATGCAGAACTCCAGGCTGAGGTCTCACAAGAGCAGAGAGTGAGAGAATAATCGCTTTCAACTTCTTGGCCATGCTTCTTTTGAAGCATCTAGGATACAACTAGTTTTCTGGGCTGCAAGTGCACATTGCCATCTTATTTCCAATTTTTCATCCATCAGTATCCCGAAGTCCTTCTTGGGAGGGCTGCACTCCATCAATTCATTAAAGTCAGTGCTGATATCAGGGATTGTCTCAACCTATGTGCAGGACCTTGGCCTCATTGAACTTCAAGAGGTTCACAAGGGCCCAATCATCAAGCCTGCCAAAGTCCCTCTGGATGAAATCCCTTTCCTTTGAAGTGTTAGTTGCACCCCTCAGCTTGGTGTCATCCACAAACTTGTTGAGGGTGCATTCAATCCCACTGCCTATGTCAGTGATGAAGATGATCACATGACAAACACAGTTCTCAGACAGAGGTAAGCAGCTTTCATATTACAAAGTATTTCTTGATTCTGAGTTTCAGAGTACTTTCTGGATATTTGAGTGCAAGACCCGAAACAAAAGCCTGTATTATCCATCTTTTAAATTAAAAAGAGATCCTACAGTTAACAGACTGTGGCAACCTTTGTAGCCAAATTGCTGTTTTCTTCTAATGAGAAAATGAGTTACCTCTGCTTGAATGATATTCCATGCATTTTTCAGCCCAACGTTATTTTCTGAATTGTACAGCTTCATACCTTCCTTCAAATCCTTCTTTGCGCTCTCACTGACCTGCATCATACAAATACTGAATGTGAGTGCACTGCTATTTGTAGGAAAAGACCAAATTGTGCAGACCTGAATATGGAATATATTTCTTTTGTCACATCACAAAATTAACACAGGCAGAAAAATCTCTCTTATCTCCAATACTATCATAAGTTCTCTTCAAGCACCTGTCAAGGCAAGGTCTGTCTCACAGATTAATTACTCCTGGATTAATTTTCATGAGAATTTAAACAGTTTCCCATCTGGTAAGAGTCTATCATACAGTCATCTGATTCAAACTAACCAAAGTAATCAGCATAAGCTGAGGTTATGTTAACTTTGTCACAGACAGATGTTGGCAATATATCACAGCAGCCTCTCATGACAGTAACCTAGTTTAATTTGCTAATATCCTAAAATCGGAGTCTCCATCTCCCAAACTTAGTTGTTCCTTGCACAAGTTCAGGCTATAATTAATGGCCAATATGAAATCAATTGAGAAAGGGCATTATCATTGTTGGGACATGCTTGCAGGATTTAAAGTTTTCGAAAGTGTTCTTGCTTCAAAGGAGGAAGTTGGAATGCTTAGCAAGAGGTTTCATATGTCCTATTTGTCATATAAATTTCTGTCCAAGCCTGAAATTTTGAATGTAAGTAGGAATATATCTTGGCTCTGACAGCCAAATCCAATGAAGGTTTAGAAAAAGGCTAGGAAGCAGTTTGCAGTTTTGCCAACTCAGCTTGCCAACTCAGGAGTGAGCTGGCAGAACAGAAGGAGTTAGCCTATGTATAGATCCAGGCATTGAGGACAACTATTTTGTAAGATCTATTTTATTCCTCTTTCACATTTTATTCAAAAACAGTTCACCCCAACTCCCTGAAAGTGGCATACATCATCATGACACCCTGAGAAGAGATATAATATGGAAAGAGATCTGTTTCGAAATGAATCTGGATATGCTCATAGCATAAGGCTCTGTCCTATGTTTATCAGATCTCTCCAATTCACTCAGGATTTTTTCAGTCTTACTGAGCTGCTAAGCCAGTCAGTGTTACCTGCTTCTCTTAATCATTACCACATAGCAGGATACAATGGGCTTTATGAGAAGCTACCTCTTCATCTACTCCCCAGACTCGTTCCTTGCTCCTCTAGTTCTGTAGAAGGGTTGGCCCTAAGAAGATAGCCAAATCTAAACCTCCCAGAACGCAGATCCATAAGATTATCAGCTTTTTGCAGAGACATCAAATAACTATGTTGATAGGTATCTTAACTTTTAGGATAAGAGTAAACAGAAGGCTTTGGACCATGGTTTTTATTTCAGGGAGAAACATGTTTTCTCCTACTTGCTCTCCTTGTAATTTCCTCCCTTCCTTTTCCCCCAGAAGCAGCTTGCAGAAAACAGCTAAGATCTCTGCCAAACTGAAAAGCAGAGAAAACCTTCACACTTTCACCTAACAAAAGCTAATTGAACCTGTTTTACTTGCTAGTAAAGATAATTAATCTGTGTTGTCATACTTGCTTACCTTGTCCATATAAACAAAGAACAAAATTAGTAATATCAGCTCTGCCAGGAGAATTATCAGCAAAACGATGAAAAACTAGAACAAAGAAAAACACTGTGAATATACACTTGCAAAACAGACAGTTGTGAATTGGAGATCATAGGCCTTGTCCACCAAGCCCTTCCTCTACTGCTGAAAATATGCAATTGAATTCAAACTGTTCAAGTATGTTAATTGTTAATACTATCTTGTCTCTAAAGTTCCTGTAGGTCTTACCATCAATGAGGAAGCACGCTGTTTAGTAATCTCTATATTTTAGATTTCGCTCTACTATCAGTTTCCAAGTTTCAGCTGTACACACAGTCATACAATCTACAGAACACATGTCATCTGTTACTACAGAGATAAATGTGTTGTGCCACAGGAATGATTCCCTTGTAGGTAGGCTTTAACTAGATCTGACTCCCTGTTTGAACAGTCAAGTGACTCAGCATTTCTATTTCTAATTGTCTGTAGTTGAAATCTCTCTCTGCAGGGGGCAGCCCAAGTATGAGCTTCAACGGCTTCTAATTGCTCTTCATATCCAGAAGCAACCCTCTAGCTACTAGTGGTATGCCACATAGCCATGGCATCCCCATATACACAGTGGGAGAAACGGAGGGTGATGTGCTGTACTTGAAAAGTCAGAAACACACAATAATTTGTATCAAAGACTTCTGAGAGCCTTATAAGAATAAAAACACTCTTAAAAAGAAAAGTAGTTTCTGTTGGTGTTGTAGTTCATGCGAATGAGCAATACAGACCCCATTACTATCTTGAATTGAGATATTATTATTATTATCTTGAATTATCTAATTGAGAAGTCAGTCCTTCTAACAAACATTTTCAGAAGGGCTATCTATTTGACCCTACACTTCATTCAGAGGTAACTGAATAATGTACTTTGGTATCTAATACATAAGAATGCACAGTAACTAGGATGCATTTGCTAAAGCACCAGTGATCTTACTGTGACCAAACCTGTGGGATGTCATACTGCAATCCTACGGAAGACAGGCAGTTAAGGGAAATGCTAGTGATCCACAGGACTGCTTTGCACTGGTGAAAATATTTTTTAATAAAATAATCACAAAGCAACAGTGTTCATAAAAATAAGCATTGATGTCTTACACTCAAAAGTAGGCACTTATTCTCCTTGATAGCACCTAGGCAGCCCAGAAAGCCGGTCACCATGATGACTGTACCAAAGGCAATGACTAGGTTGGCAGCTGAAAGTGATGGAAAGCTAGGAGAAAATGTGGCGAAGTTTCCTTGTGATACTGACAGCCAGATGCCCACGCCCAGGAGCCCACAGCCACATAACTGCAAAGAGATAAAATAAAGGTTTAATCATTGATTACTTCCTCTGCTCTCTGAAAGGAAGGAATTTCTCAAGCAAATTCCCAGTTAACTGTTTTGTAGTAACATTCTCACTGACTTGGTGCAGAAACAAAATTAAATTAAATGTCCTTACCTAAACCTAGGCATGCAATTTACACTGATAAATCTAGTTAAAAGCCACTTAAAGGACTCTAGTTTTGAAGACTCAGCAGATGAAGTAGGGCTACCAATTTATCTCCCAGCAACACAACCCAGCGCAACTTTTCTGTAGAAAGGACAAAAACATTATTTGAAAGAATTCCACAACACATATATTTTTGCAACCACCTACAATCTCTCAGAGTATCCAGCCTCATAGTTCCTCATTCTGGCCAAGCAAAGAAGTCATGGAGGTAATTAAAACATTATCATTTCAATAAATATTTGTCATAATGTCCCATTAGTCTGGATAAGTTTTTTGATGAGTTCTCATAGCATCACGGTTGTTTGCCAGTATTCAATAACAATCAGATTTATAGATTCATTATCTACAGGATCAACTTCCACTACTCTCTGCCAGTGGCAGAACCCAGAGGAAATGCAAAGTTAATAAAGCACAAAATTAACTTTTTTTCTTTTCTTTTCATCACTCTTAACAATATTTGGTTAAAGAAATAAAGTTCTCTACCATAGTCATATGGCAGGTCTCTTGAAGAATGGCCAAGAGTGATGTATATACTACAATGGGACTGAAAGCTGGCTATTTTTTAATATTTGTTTAAAATGGCTGATACAGAACTTCCCATCTGATCTGTGATCACTGTGCAGTGAAATCAGTAGACAGCTGTGTTTTCATTAAACCTGCGATATTCTAAAGAGGAGTATTATAGTTCTGCGCCAGATCTACTTTTCAGAGAAACACAGAATGGCTTAGGTTGGTAGGGACTTTAAAAACCAATGAGCTCCAGTGCCCCTGCTGTGGACAAGGTTGCACCCCCTAGATCAGAGTGCCCAGGGCCCCATCAAGCACAGCCATGAACTCTCCCAGAGATGAGGCATCTGTGACTCCTCTGGACCATGTCTTCCAGTACCTCACCACTCTCTAAGTAAATAAGTTCTTCCTAATGTCAATCTAAATCTATCTTCTTTTAGTTTAAGCCTTTTAATGATAAAAATATTTCTCCTCACATATAATAGTATTCAAAGTTGTTTGTTGTGAATCCTTATGATTCTGGATTTTTCCTTGCTGACTCAATTTGTCTTCATTCTGGCTTAAGAGATAAGTGAGCTTCTCTTCCTCTTCCCATATGCCCTTGTTGTCTTCCTGCTCTATTAGCTTTCTCTTTTCTTGATCTACACCTAGTTTACCTCCTTCTGCAAGCTACGAACAACTTACACTGCCAATCCTACTCTACCTGAGTCATTCCAATTCTAGCAGCCTGATCCACCTGCTCGTTGCTTTGATGTTCTTTTGTGGCATAATACTTGAGTATGTGAGAATCTACATGATGTACTTACACATCCAGGTTCTCTCCTCTGGCAGCTATATCTTTCTACAGTGTAGTGGCTCAGATAGGCTTGCCTCTGCACTGTTGCCACTGCAACTCTGCCAGTTGCTCTGCTTCTGTTGTTGCAAGCACATGGCATTTGTCAGCATTCGTAAGTCAATACACAGGTACAGCACTGACCACTTTTCTCATTCAGTGATATCTAAAGCTAGCTGGGTAGCCTTCACTTCTGCAAATTAGCACAATTCACCTTCAACAGTTTCTATGACTTGTCTTGTAGGGTTTCATAAAACAGCTTTCTACCTCAGATGATTTCCACAATGTGATGGGACTGAACAGTGAGCAGTCTGGGTCAGCATCTGGTTTGAGTACCCTTATGTACAGGCACACAAATAACTAACTAATCATAAGTACATAGTTGCTTTACTTCAGTAATTTTGTAGCAACTTTCAATATATACTTGCCTTACTAGTAGTAATTAGTAGTAACATATACTACAGAAATTCATGGAAACAAAATCTCAATTTTTTTTATTATGAAATACTATGAACCCACTCTTGTGGTATTCACATACCTGTGGATCTAACTCCCACAGATTGTGACTGTCACACAGTAGCATCACTATTTGAGGAAACCACTGTCAACCTGGATCATATGTACACAGTTAAAGAAAACTTGTATGTAAATACTGTATGTAAGGAATATGAATCCCATTGCCCATTGGACTCATCTGGGTATAATGCAGTGAGCCTACTCTGAAGGACTCAGCGCTCCATGCCAACACTGAATCAATGTAATATTTCCTGTATGCAATTTTTTCAATGCAAAAAAACAACAAAAAACACCAAATACAAACAACAACAAAAAAATCCCACAACTGTTATTCAGACTTAATTACTTCAGATTACTATTATTTTCTTTAGGAAGAAGCACTCTGCCACAGAAGAAGTCACGAAACCTGGATTCTTATAGATTTATGATTCATTATTAGATTCCCAACTTTTTGATCTGTTGTGAATGCTTGTCCTATTTAAGGACACTTAGAACAACTTGCTTATGCATGGATTCTCAAATATCTGATAAAGTTGGAGTTTATTCTGCAGGCTACTTCCAAGGAAAGCACAGTCTATGCCCACTACTGAGTCACAGATTCAGTTTTATGTCTGTCTTTGTAAAGTTCATTAAAATGGAAGTTAAGTTCAGCTGAAAATAAACCCACAAGACTGTTAATGGAATTTCATTTATTGCACTGTGTACTGTACTCTGTAGGCATTGCTTTCTTTTCTTATCCCAGATGCAATTTGTTTGGTTTACTGACACATGCATGACTTGAAAGTTTAACAGATGTAAGAAATGAAATTAAATATTTCAAGAAATAGCTTTAATTTCCCTATATCTAACTTTTTTTTTTTTTTTTTTTTAATCACAAATCAAGTAACCAAACACATACTAAAAGAGCATCTGTAAGTAAGAGGTAGTATGTACAGATGCTCTTTCATTAATTTCAGAGTATACACACCTGTAATACCTCTGGATCATCTGTTATTAAGCTACCTGATACACTCACCCTAAAGTCTTAATAGAACTAGTTAAATGGCAAATATTGAGAAGAAAACCAACAAATTATGGCAACAGGCAATGATCTATGAATGCCTATTTTAAACATATTTTTCCAAACAAAAGATTATCATTATCTTTCTTGGTCTTTCATCTAACATTTTTACAACAACAAAAAAAACCCTGAAAATCTAATGTGAGGCTTCCCATGACTGACTCTTTACACTGAAAAGCACAACTGCAATACTAGATTGCTTCAATTTGTACTACAGTGGACTGCCTTAATTGTCAAGCTGCCAATATGTTCTTTGACTAAGAAATTATCCAGGTCCATACCTGCTAGTGCAAATGCAAATATGCAAATGCAAATATGAATCCATATTTTCATACTCTAATAAGGAGTCTTGTATTTAATGTCTGGGTTATCCATGCTTAAGAAAGACGCATATAGATATATAAGTTATTCCTCCCTAAAATACTCACTACCCTATAGCTATTTAGAATTACATTCAAGAGTTTTTTAGCACCTTAACCAGGAGACCTCGGGTCAAATTGCAAATCAGTTAGAATTTCCCTGTCCTATAATTTTCAGTTTTTCCTAAGAAACTCAGAATTTCTATCATCCTGGGCTGCTTTTGTAGAAAAACACATAGACCTTCAGAAAATGACTGGTACACCCAGAGGTGGTATTTATTTTGGGTACAAAGAAAGTAGACAACAGCATTCTATATACAACACACACAAAAAAAAAGATAATTCACATATACAGTGTCACGGAGTTATCTCTAGATCTGTGTCCATGACAGGAAAACAGCAGGCTGAAAAAAAAACATTCCGAAAAAAAAAGAAAAAGGGGAGGGGGCACATATCAAAACAGGCTGGTTCAGCTAGTTCCGTGACTAATGAAGCAGGAGGACCCAAGGACCCACACCCCAGAAAAGGGGAAAAGGGAAAAGGGGAAGGGTGGGGAGATGGGTCTAAAAAAAAAAAACAGTGGCAACAATCTGAGGAAAGTTATTTACTAAATAATATATCAAAATGCAAGATAACACAATATACAATATAATCGGAATTGAGGCTAATAAATCAAATAAAATGAGAAAGAAACAGAGAGTGTCCAAAACTAAAGGCCCTATTCTAACACTGAATGCAAGACGGCTAGGGAACACACAACAACAGATGAGCAAGAAGGGGGAAAAAAAAGGGGCATCTCATGACTTGTGAACAGCTTTTATCTTTCCTGCTGAATGAAAAATGGAAATGAAACAGTGAGCCTCTTGGGAGTTGTAGTTCTCTACTGAGAACTAGATACCTGGAAATACTGACAATGGAACTGGAGCTTTAGCTCTTTAACTGCCAGTGCACTCCATGATGTTATGATGTGAAATACTGATAACAAAAGTCATAAAACCATGACATTCCACCCCTTATCTCACATCACTACATCATGCTTAACATATATATATATATACACAAACAAACAATAATTAACATGCATTAAACAAACACACACACGTACACACGCACATATATATACATGCATGGAATTACTGACTGCACTCCCACAACATTAAATTCCCCTGTGGTACACACTGAATATCCACATTTTTCTGCATCACCCACCAATTGGACCCAGGCCCCTGAACAAACACAATTTCACAGAGAGGTTTGCCCTTTCCAGAAGCTGGGAGGACCCAAATTGCTCTTCCCGACATGCACTTTACATGTACTACAGGAACCTTATTTTCCTCTACAGTATGTAGGGAGCTGGATTGGGCAGGACCATCGCGACTGATAGATCCTCAAGTGTTGACCAACCAGGTGGCTTCTGTCAAATGCTTCTCTCAGTGCTTAAATGTTCTTAAATGGGTGCGTTGCTTTCAGTGTAGCTTTTAACAACTCACCGTATCGTTCAATTTTACCAGAAGTTGGTGCATG